CATCAAAAGAGAGAAAAGAAATATGTGGAACCCCTTCATAAAAATCCAGAAATTCCAAACAGAAAACCAAACCTTTGTTCTTCCTTTTGAATCAAAGAGCTTGGCATTTCCTCTTTCGTTGCTCTTGCTGACTCAGAACATCTAAAGGCAGCAGTCCAAATTCCAAACACACGCTCCAGGTTCAAGGTAAGTCTTTATGACTCTGCATCTTTTCATTCAGAACATCATTAAACATGTAAATATCATAATATTGATGTTGTCTATATCATTGCATGAATAGAAAAACTATGGATCAGAACTTCTTGATTAAGGATAGGCTTAGGAGTAGGATTAGAACTTCTATAAACTGTTGTGCTCTTATCCCTATGATTTATGGTTTGATTAAAAACTGAATAAGCTGCTGATGTTTGATAAATATGAGGAAATAGTTGAAATATGACACAAAAATTCTGATTTTTCCACTCTTATTTAACACATAGAACTTCTGAGGCTCACTCACTGTTTAGCATAGCATAGAACTTCTGAGTTCCCCTTATTGTTAAGCACACTGAACTTCTGATACTTTCACTCACTGTTTTAAACACTCAGAGTTTTTGATTTTCACATGCTGACAATACGCTGAATTTCTGATGCTTACTCACTGTTTTAGCGTAACGCAGAGTTTCTGACTTTTGGCCCACTGTCTGAATATCACCCAGAACTTTTGTGTTTTTCCTCTAACGTTTCTTGCAGGACCTCAGAGTTTACCCATCAGAACTTCTGATGCCCACTAACGTTTCTTTCTGAGTCACCATGTGTCTGGCTTCAGAACTTCTGATCCTTGTTGTTTTGCTTGCAGCAGCACGCTGTTTCTATCTTTCATTTATTTTCCGTTTTTATCATTTTTAGTAATAATCCTTTTTTTTAATATAAAAAAGACATAAAATATTTTCTTTTATTAATTTATTTATTTCTTTTTCATTAAGATAAAAAACCATTTTCTAAATAAGTCATTTTTCTTCCTTATATTGTACATTTCGATATGATTGTAATAGCAATTAGGATTTATTTTCTTGTAAATCCCCATTCGTAAATTTGTACACCCCATCCCCCTAATGATTGTAATATCGTAGAATCTTTATTTTCCGCACTTTCATTGCTTTCATATGTTATTAGTAACTAGGGTGTGTATGGAAAGATATGAAATTCACAAATAGATCACCCTAATCAAGACTAAACGCATGCAATCAAACTCACTTTGCACACATACACCCTTAGGGTAATCTCACTTTGTGGCATATCGAAAAATAGTCATGTCCCTCGAACATGGGAATTTTAGCAAAAGACCCTCGATAAAAGATCGTAGTCCCTCGATGACCCTCAATGTTGCCTTTGGTAAACGATCTAGTCCCTAAAAACGACATTGCTAAAACGTCCCATAGGTTGCCTTCTATGACTATACAAACGTCCCAACGTCCGTCCCTTCACATCCAACGATGGGGCTTCTTATCAAATAAATGGTAAAATAACAACGTCTAAAGGAGGAGGAAAAGAACATCTAAGACCTTTTGAGTAGGTAGATTCACTCTTAGTTGCTCGCTTGCTCACAACAAAAACATTTTTATACACCAACACTCTCATTTTGAAATATTTTCGAAAGACAACACTTTGTACGCGTTCTTATAGAGGCGAGAACAGTTACAAAAACACCTTTTTAAAATCACTTTAAAAAAACACACATCTTTGAATTATTTTCCAAACACTTTGTACGCGTTCTTATATAGATGAGAACCATTACAAAGACGCTTTCAAAATACTTTCAAAACTCACAAGCACATTTAAACAAAAGCAAGTGATCTAGCAAGTAACTAAGAGCCCATGGAAAACTATGGATGAAAAGGGTGCTAATACCTTCCTTTTTCATAATCTACTCCCCGAACTCAAGAAAACAATCTCAAAGGTCTTTCCTATGTTTTTTCACCTTTCTTTATTGGATAAAAGAAAAGTCGGTGGCGACTCTTGCTAAACCACAACATTTATGAACACAAACACAAAACACCCAAGTCAGTTCTCCCACCGCATCGCAACAACATTACCAAATTCATCACCATTCATAACATACAAACAAATTTACCAATTAACCATCATATAATTATGCACTTACAACACACGATAATATTCTCCACATATCACTAACAACATCACTAAACAATATTACATGCATTCCAAACAATTTCTACATCATTTAAACAACAATATTTAAGTAATTCAATTATTATTCAACAACGATAATATATCACGATTAATTAAGTTCATAATAATTAATCAATTACTCATCAATAACTAATTCCCATTGACATATCACCAAAGAGTATTTAATCATTCACAATAATTAAACTTTTTTATCATCATTAACGGTCAATGACATTACACCTTGAGAAAATAGTATATTCACGTCTTTAAGTGCATATTTAGCTTTTTAGGGCATCACCGTGAGATAATATTATATGTTAGCTTTCTAATGCTTTAAATTGTGTCTCAAAAGAGTTATGCAACTCAAGTTATGATAAAAATAATGTTTTAAAAAAATCAGCCTAATCAGTAATGGTTGGACCGCTAACACCCGTTAGCTCTTTCGCAATGTCCTGAACTGCTGCAGAATATATAATTATGCATTTTTAACAGTTGGAGGCCTTCCAGACCTCTGATTTTGATTCTATAAAAAGACAAACGTTCAGAATTCGACACCAAATAATTATATAACAATTGCACAACAACCAATACGAATTATACACACCCAACATTAATTAATCAACAATTTTTCATACTTAGCATTGTGAAGCTTGACATTTTTTTGTTATTATCGAGTCTTTGTGTTTTAGATTGTAAGACTTTATTTCTAAGGTGTGTTTGTTAAGTTAGAAGAATAGAGTATTTGTGTTGTAATTTTGTTTCATCACTACATACACTTTTGTTATTATACAAACACTTGAGAGAGTGTTATAGTGAAAGTGAGAGAGATCTCAGATTCAGGAAATCCAAATCGAAGTTCATAAATAATATTAGAAAAAGGACATTGAATCGAAAGAGTTTAGAAGAGACTATCGTATACTATTGTCTATTAATAGTGAATTTCTTTTCATTAAAAGGATGTCATCGGATGTAGATGACTTTACACCGAACTATGTTAATTACTTGTGCCATTTGTCATACACATTATTCCAACATTTTATCTGACACCTTATCATTGTAGAACATAATTTCAAGTAAGATATCAAATATTTTAAAATAAAGAGAATACCCACACCCTATTCACTTAAACAGTCTAATCAAACAATATTTTGTGCAAACAACTATTCTACGACTTATAAAATTGTTTTCTCTACAAATACCACAACTTATTAACTATTTAAAACATCTAATTATTCAAACTATCTTTTATACTATATCTTCTTTACATTAACTTTATTTTATGCATTTTTTACACTAATAGTAGAATTTTCAGACATCCCTACCTACTTAACACTTTCTTAAAATAGTTGTGAAACCCATATGCAAATGACAAAGTCCCGTCTTCAACACAATCGTCTAAAAAAAGAGAGAGAATTGTTGTTGAGAACTATTGATCGATCCTTAACTAAATTTTAATAATTTGATAACAAAGTATCTTCAATTTCGGAGCCCACAGCCCATGTGGTATCAATACTATCAATAGTCACCTTTTTTCTTGGATAATAGCAGCTGTCAAGAAAATGATATGGCCTTAGAAGGAGCATTCTATTGGCCATGATATACATCCTGTTGAGGAAGGAAATATTTTGACAGGGAATCGCCCGACCAATACCTTTGATTTTCTACATAAGATAGAGACTAAAATAATAGGTAGACTCTTTTCATGCGAGTATAACCCAACTGAGTGGAGATCTTCATTTCTCAAAAAAATTGGAGAACACAATTACTATAGTTCATATTATGTAAAATATATGTCAGACATTTCATATATATTCTTCCACCTTTAAATATATGTCAGACATTTCATATATATTCTTCCACCCAAAAGATGTCGGAGATTGGCCACTAAAATGTTTCAAATGGCCACTAAAATGTTTCAAATGAGAATCCGCTTTGCATACAAATCTCCTTCTATACCAATAGATGTATCTCCACTTAGCAACCAAACTTCCGTTGAAAAAAAATCTAGTATCTTTTATCCCAAATTCTCCCTCCTCTATTTTAGTCTTCGGAAATGCGTTTTATGTAATTGTTCATTAAAAACAAAGAACTGACTATAGATATCAGTAGAAGAAAAGGCCACAAACTTTCTAGGTGGTCAAATAAAAAAACAAAAAGGACTTCAGCATAAATATCGTAGATTAGTATTGACTAACTGTAATAATCTGAATAGAAAGTGGTGAATTTGTGTATATATTTAAGTACTTAAGTGGAAAACACAATCGATCTAGGAAAAGATATAAACACTATCTACTTCACTGCTTTGTTGTCATAACCCATCTCAATGTGGAAACAAAGCAGTTCCATATTGAATCCACATCGCCACACAAGAGGACACGAGAAGAAATGAAAGATTTTAAACACTAAATTATGACATCAACTTCCTCATGTTCAGTGCGTTTTCTCAACCATAATAGACACCTAGTAATAGTAAGTAACAGCACATGTTTCCACACAACATACAAAACTATTATATATCTTGGGATAATGCAAGATCACTACTGCAAAATCAAAATAGAGTAAAAGACCGACACTTGTATTCAGATACATCTTGTGCTAATAACTGATGAATCATAAACCATAATTGGTTATTCATCTGTATATTTCCATTACAAACATTCAATTCCATTAAGAAAAATGACTGAAATTTTAAAGATGCAGAATTAAATTTTACTATGATGTATTGAAATGGTCAGTATTAAAAAAAAACTTCAACTTTCAACGCTTACAGAACTATTTTATTGCACCAAAGTTCACCTTAATAAGCACGACACTTCCAAAATAAGTAGCTAATGATCTGAAGGCGATGGTGGTTGCTCAGGTGGTTGAGGCCACATTTGAGGTGCCATGTATGGATGAGACTGTGGAGCATACATGTTTGGATTATGCATCATGAGACCGGGATTTCCAGCTTGTTGTGGGTGATGAGGTGGCATATAGCCATAAGGAATTCCATCAGCAGGCCCTCCCACAGGCATTGGCCCTCTTGGTATTGATGCAAGCACTTCATCTTTCAAGTCCTCCCGAGGCACAATATCAACCAAGAAATCAAAGATATCAGTTCCGGTGATGGCTGCTGCAATATCATTCTTTTGAAGTGTTCGTCTTTTATTCTCTTCAGTGTGAGTCCAAGAACGCAAGGTTAACTCTAATATGAACATTTCGCACGCCCTTGCAAATACAACCGGCGCCTCAGCTGATATCATCTTCACATCCTCATCGGCCTTCATAATCTTCTTGATCCTTGCCAAGGGAAGACTGTGGTTTTTGAAATCAGTTACCTTCTCAATTTCTTGATATTGAGTTCCCCAAAAGGTCTGGAGTTGTTGCTGTTGCTGCTGTTGTTGCTGCTGATGAATATGCTGATAAGCAAGTTGATGTTGTCCCATCTGAGTTCCGTCTGGTTGAACACCAGGCTGAATATTCCCAACAGAGGGAACAACCATCCCAGGTGACCCAGTTATATGGTTGGGCTGGTATGGATTAGAACCATAAGGGGCCATTTGTCCACTACCAACAACTCCCATAGCTGGGTTTTGGCCATGACCTTGATGATCCATTCTGTTCCAGGTGAAATCAACACACATCAAGGAAAAAACTATCAAATTCATAAAAATTAAATAAAAAAAAATGTTAATTTTTATTCCAATTCAGTGCATATTTAGCTCCATGGATCAAGGCAAAACCTAATTCAGTACAAATTCACCTCTACGCACCAAGACAAAAAAAAAAAACTATCAAATTCATCAGCAAATATTAATTTTGACCTAATTCATTACAAATTCACAAGTTTATATGTCTCCATATAAAAAACTATCACTTATTTCTGGGGTTAATCGGAAGGGAAAAAAGATAGAATCTTTACCATAACAAGAGAAGTTAAACAACAGGGAAAGTTGTCTAGATATGCATAAACAAGTTAAAGGTATTGAGAATTGGAGTTGTTACCTTGTGTGAGTGGTGATGCTTACTCTGAAAATACGAATAACCAGATAAGATAAGAGAAAATAGAAAGGGCAAGAAGAAGAGAATGATCAGAAAATTGATTTTCTGATCTATTGCAAGAGGGTTTGAGTTGGTCGAAACGAAGGCAGAAGCACGTTTTGGAATGTTGGAGTACGGTGGAGGAACCAATTTCTGTTTTGCCCTTTTTTATATATATGCAGGTGAAGACAGTTAGGGTTTCATTACAAATTGGAAGAATCTCAATTTGTCATAGCCATATATATAAGTAAACAATACTATATTTAATTAATTAAATTGATATAATATAAAAATTAATTGATAATGTTAAATTTAAACATCATAAATAAAAATAATGTATAATTAGTCAACAACTCCCTTAATATTTTCTTTAGTCTATTAACTTAATATATATATTCCTTAAAAAAATTTCATTAATCTAATTGATTTTTTCTATTAAATTTTCTAAAAAAATCATAAATTTGTGCTTGTGTGACATGATAGCTTGACAAAAGTTAAAATAGCACATTAACATTTAAATAAGAAATTAAATTGAAATCTTATAATTAGTTAAAGAGATAAAAACATATTTATGTGAACTGAAATTAAAGTGTTTATGTAACGATGAAACTTTTCATAATAATATTTGTTCAATTGCAATAAAGAGGTTAGTTTCAAAATGTTAACAAAATATAAATTTGGTAACCTTTATCTAACTAAATATTTATGTAACAAAAATATGAGAAAAAATATTAAATTTCATCTCAAACTCAACTTCAACTAATATACATACAAAGACAAATTTTGCAGGACATTTAGGCTATGTTTGGATATCATGAAATGAATGGAGCGAAGTGGAGTGGAATGACGCGAAATGGAGCAGAGTGGAACAAAGATACCATTTCATTATTTAGAAATTTTATGACGGAATAAGACAAGTTGTTCATTCCATCCAAATCAGAGGAGAAGGAATATGGTGGTAAATGATAGAATGGAGTGGAATCCATATCACTTTATTTTGCTTCGCTCCATCCATTTTTAAATTATCCAAACGATGGAATACCATTTTATTCCATTTCATTCTGCTTTGCACCATCTGATTCCATCAATCCAAATATAGTCTTAGATTGTTAACTATGCTTCACTAGCCACCATTTACTATTGAAAACATTACAACTAAATAATTACAAAGGATTCAAGGAAAATAAGAACTAAGTGCTAAAAAAAAGAGTTATATCAAACCAATTACAAGACTAAATTTACTATTGTAATTCATCTGGTTTCTAATTGTAAATTAATCTGGTTTCTACGTTGGTGTCAGAATTTGGTGATCTATAAGCAAAATCATGGTTTTAATTCACGTTGTCGCAAGTGTATTACATATTTTGATGTCATGTGTGCATCAAGAATGGGATAATAATGCCAGCACCCCCAACAAATTTCTCCTTCTAATGCCTATCTAGGTCAAAGTGATACTTATTCACATTTATACATACTAAAAATACTTAAGTTGACTTACATATCAGATACTTAAGACCGGGAATATGGTAAAAAGGCCAAAGGGAACTAGGGACAATGACATGAAGTCAAACCCTACTAGAAGCATACTTACTCGGAAACATATAAGTCAGAGGCACGCAAGTCTAGTATGAGTAGTTCGATGAAACCATATGCTAGGTCGGATAAACCGGGGTGTCATACCGACTCGAGGGTTACAAATATATGAGGGGTTTTCAGGGACGTTACATGAGGTAATGCGTAATATAAAGGCGATGACAGAAGTTATGATCTCATCGTTATGAAAGGACTCCAAGGGCCACCTCTTAATGAGGCTAGGTCATAAACACGAGGGTATAAATAGGGGCTACCACCTGAGGGATAAGCAAGACAGTCTTCTTGAGCATACACACACCACCACTATGTAACTCGAATCCCTTAATCTCTGCAACCATTCCTACCATACGCACATAGAGTAATACATACATACATAGGAACCACAAATATAATTGTAACCTCGCTGGATTAACTTCCGGGAGGTGATCTAAATATGTTTTATAGGAATATTTGGTGCCCACTATGGGGCCTAGGTGAAACTTTCTCAAGCCACACAATAACCTATCTCTTTAGTTATCAAACATGTAGGAGGCATCCCCTACAAGTGAAGATCCTCTATCGAACATGACCCAGTTGTTAGTAATGGTAGAAGCATTAAGGCAGCAGAACAAAACTCTTCATGATAGCGCCCAAACATTACAGACTCAGACGTTACGGGACGAGGATGTGCAGGAAGAACCCTTGGACCCTCAATCATTAGTAGAGGCCATATGGGAGGACGTGGTACCAGAGAACTTCAAACCGCCTCCACTAACATATTTCGATGGCAAAAGCAACCCTCGGGAGCACATCATTTCCGTCAATAATCAAATGGAGATAGTCAGAAGCAACAAACAAGATAAGCATACATGCATGAAGAAGAAGTTAGATGAAGCTAAATGACTGTGGGTCGAGTACCTCCATGAAATATTATGTTTATATCACACCACCCCACACTTAGCAACCAAAGAGACTTCATTTCGCATAGTTTACGGAGTTGACACGATGATACCAGTTGAGATCAATTCACCTACTTGGCGCAAAACAAATTTCAATGTCGAGGCTAATCAAGAAGGGTTGGAGAATTCAGTCGATCTGGTAGAAGAAATCAGAACAATAGCTCAGGTCAAAGAGATAGCAGCGAAGCAAAGGATGGCACAAAAGTTCAATTCCAGAGTGCGACCGAGAAGTTTTCAAGAAGGAGATCTTGTCCTGAAAAGAATCACCGACACAAAGAAAAAAGGGAAGTTATCCCCTAACTAGGAGGACCCGTACATGATCGATGAAATATTAAACAATGGAGCTTATAAACTCGAAAATTTGGATGAGGCTGAAATGCCTAGGGCTTGGATTGTAGAAAATTTAAAATTTTACTACAGTTGAAATTTGTAATTTACTACTAATAAAAGAAGATTGGTGGGTAGTACTTTTTTCCCTTGTAAGGTAAAAAGTTTTTAATGAGGCACCCCCAATTTTTTATGCATATTTTTCTATTTTACACAGGCAGGAAACACTGGCATCATGAAGTTCTAGGTAGAGTACTTTACCGGATCAGGGTTAAGTCCCTTTCGGCTTCACTCTCTAATCCAATTCGGGTCGAGTTAACATTCCTCCTTCGGGATTTAAATACTTTACTAGATTAGGGTTAAGTCTCTGTCGGTTGCACTCCATAATCCAACCCGGGTCGAGTTGACATTCCTCCTCCAGAAGCCGAATACTTTACTGGATTAGGGTTAAGTCTCTGATGGTTGCACTCCTCAATCCAACCCGGGTCGAGTTGACATTCCTCCTCCGGGAGTCGAATACTTTACCGGATCAAGGTTAAGTTCCTGCCGGTTTCACTCCAAAATCCAACCTGGGTCGAGTTGACATTCCTCCTCTAGAAGTCGAATACTTTACTAGATTAGGGTTAAGGTTAAGTTCCTGCCGGTTTCACTCCAAAATCCAACCTGGGTCGAGTTGACATTCCTCCTCTAGAAGTCGAATACTTTACTAGATTAGGGTTAAGTTCCTGCCAGTTGCACTCTCCAATCCAACCCGGGTCGAGTTGACACTCCTCCTTCGGGAATCAGGTACTTTACCGAATTAGGGTTAAGTCATTTCCGTCTACACTTCCTAATCTAACCCGGGTCGAGTTGACACTCCTCCTCCAGAAGTTGAGTGCTTTACCAGATCAGGGTTAAATCCCTGTCGGCTATACTCTTCGGACCAAGTTGATACTCTTCCTTCGGGAATCAAATCTTTTAACAAGTTAGAGTTGGCCAAGTCGTACTAACTTATTGGAAACAAACTCTTGGTTGGGATGGCTCTTAGTCAATCATTTCGTCATGTTACACAGGTCTTTTTCTTGGGGGGGAATCATATAATCCTAGTTACAAATGTAAACACTTGCGAAAATTCTGCTCGAATGCATACAAAGACATAATATGAAAACTCGCAAGGGGCTAAAATGCATACAAAGGCATAATATTAAAAACCCAACAAGGGCTCAAAACATTGTGCTTACTCACAAGGGGCTCAAAACATTGTGCGTAGCCACAAATGGATTAAATCATTACAAAATGCATCACCATGGATGACTAACAAAAATAACAAAAGTTACAAATTACACATCAGGTTGGTTTTCACTGGGATGGTTCTCCTCTGGGGCAATCACAAGTTGTTCCTTCTCTTGTCAGCCTTCCTCAACAATCTCAGCCTTCGGGGTCTCAGCATCCAACTCTACTAACCGACCATCCACCACGCCTTAAAATAGTCCATCTCGGCTTCATTGAGGCATGGCTAGAGACACAAAGCTTGGGATTTATCCATTTCTAAAGCTTCATCATAACCGATAAGAGGTCAACCTGAGCGTCTTTCAAAGAAAGCTTTAGCTGCTCATTAGACTCTCGAAGTAGTTCGACATCTCGGATTAACGCGACGACGATTTCCTTAACATCCTCTTTCTTCTTGGTCATATCGGTCAGCTGCTTGGTTACCTCTTCCGTCTTCCGGGAAATGTCTTTGAGGTTGAAGGTGTGAAAAACACAAGAAAAATGGGGGGTTTGAATTGGGT